ACAATGAGGACTACTGAGACCTCAAGAACAATGGCAATGGGTTTTTGATCCTACTGTACCTATTGGTTTTGTGGGAGCCTAGGCAGTTTGGATGCTCACCTTACTAGACCTGGATGGAGGTGGGTGGTCTTTGGACTTCCCACAGGGCAGGGAACCCTGATTGCTCTTTGGGCTGACGAGGGAGGGGGACTTGGCTGAGGGAGGGGGAGGGAAAGGGGAGGCGGCGGTGGGGAAGAGACAGAAATCTTTAATAAATAAATAAAAAAAAAGTCCTTATTCAGCTGGGTGGTGGCGGCACACATCTTTAATCCCAGCACTCGGGAGGCAACAGCCTGGTCTACAAAGTAAGGTCTAGGATAGCCAGGACTTTTAGACAAAGAAACCCTTTCTCAAAAAACAAACAAAAAAAATCAATATTCAATTTTTAAAGAAGATTAATTCACTTACTATATATACAGTGTTCTGCCTACATGTATGCATACATGCCAGAAGAGGGGCACCAGGTCTCATTACAGATGATTATAAGCCATCATGTGGTTGTTGGGAAGCAAACTAAGACCCTCTAAAAGAGCAGCCAGAGCTCTTAACCTCTGAGCCATCTCTCCAGACCTACAAATTTCTTACATCTGAAAAAGCATAAAGAACCAACCTCAGTGGTGTAACAAACTCAGATTTTCAGAGTGTGAAGGATACAGAGGAACTCAAAGGAGGCAGAAAGCACAGAGAAGGAAGAACTCTCCCCTCTTACCTGGATCAGCACCCATCATCATGCCTACCCATTCCTTAGTAGTCAGTCTGTAGATGACACCATTCTCCTTGTCTACCATCCATGAAATGGGAGCTTCTGAGAACACTGCACAGCAGAAAGCCTCCACTTTGATCACAAAGAGATAACCATGCAAATTCCCCTCGTGAAACACATCTATGACTCTGGTCTTATAAGACACCTTCTCTAAAGATGATGAAAAATGGAAAACTGGCAACTTAGATATTGCTTCATTTGTCACTCTTTCCAAAGAGTCACGGGTAACATTTTCTTTTGGGCATCCCAGGACCTTCCTACTCTTGTCCTCCACTCCAATGAAAAGGTAGCCTCCGCTGGTGTTTGCAAATGCAGAGACATACTCTGGAATTATATCTTTAATGTTGTTTTGAACATTATCTGTATCGAATTTTTTAAACTCTACTTGTATAGATTCAGGAAAAGGCAAGATTTGACCATATTCGAGTTTCTCACTTTGGAAAATTTCAAAAGCAGGATTTGTTTCAAGGATGTTCTGACGCATAACTCTGGGAATTTTAACAGGTGGAGCCCCTCCATCAGTTAGGCCACATCCGACACTCTTCTTACCCTTTAGAAATGTGAATGCATCTGTTGAACTCATGACAATCACTGAAGTTCCACATCTACGTTTCAAGGAAGACTTTTCGGTGCAAATGCGAGGCTTAGCAGAACTGTCTTCAGAGCCACAGCTCCAAGATTTAACAAAAATGTAAAAATGGTTCCCACGTTGCTGGGTCTCAAAGAAAGCCTGCCAATCAGAAGACTGGACAAGATCTCTCAAAGCCTGTTCCAAATCCTGTCCCATCTCCACGGGCTGCTCACTCTTATTGGCCATTTGTATCTCAATCACTCCTCCTCCGGAGTTTAACAGAGCATAGGCAGCCTTTGTCACTCTTTTCTTCTCCAGCATTCTCTTCTCCGAGTTCATATTATTTCGTTCTTCTTCGCCGAGAGTCACATCTTTTATGCGGATGACCAAGTCTGGGTGAGACTTTATCACCTCTAAGGAGTGATTTCTTTTCCTGTTGGTCCTGCAGTCAAACAATCCAAACACTTGTTTTTTACCTTTATTAAGATTAATTCTCTCATGGACACAATTCATTCATCTACTTAATGAAAATATTTAGTCTAAGTCAAACATATCCTGTAAAAGCAGTAAAATATCAAGTAAGATAAAAACAGTCCTTTCTCTTCAGAAATTGTTTTGAGGGGAAATAAAAGTAGAACTTACATGAGATATGGGCTGTAGGAGGAAAAACACACTAAAGAGGTGTCTGAACTACTTTGGCTATTACTCTGTAGTTTAATAATGCTCCCAGGAGGAGCTAATGTCACCCACTCACTGTAATTGTCAGGGTGAAGTCATCAGCATTGAGGTACAAGAGTAGGAGGAGAGGTAAAAGCCATGAGTCACAGGGCAGCGACAGAGTAATAGAAATAGGTTAAATTAAGTTATAAGCGCTAGTTAGAAATAAGACTGTCAAGGCCGAGCATTCATAATTAATAAGAATTCTCCATATTGTTATTTTGGAGCTACCCTGTGGGACAGAAATTCTTTAAGAGAAAGATTCTTTACAACATACTATTGCTATATTTATCTGGATATTTAAAATACCTGAGAGGTGCAGATGTGTATGGAGGAAGAGAAGTTGAAG